TCTCAGGCCTGTGCGAGACCTGCTTTCAGGCAGTAATTCCTGTTTCTTCACTCGAGGTGACCCCTACATAGGTCTTTCTTCACAAAAATGGCTTCTTTTACTCCTCTCTCAAACCAACGAAAGCCTGAAATTTGAAAAGCCTGAATTTTGCCTGAAACTCTCAGACTGAAGAAGTCTCTTGGAAGAGAGACGAAACATTTCATTAAAGAAGAACCCGTCCAGAAGACCTATACAATTTTTTTCCTTTTCGTTGTGACTAATGTTTACTGTACCAGCAGATTGTGATTTAATTGYGTTTTTTGAGCATTAATTTTTAGTTTAACTTGATATTTACCACAGGTGGTGAAGTACTGGCCTGACAAAGGGAAGTCTGGATTCTTGGTCTGGCGGTACCTGCTGAAGCGTGATGATGATGAGCCGGCTCCATGGACCAGAGAAGGCAAGGAACGCATCAAGAAACTTGGGCTYACCATTCAGGTAAAGATCATGGTTTGCACTCAAATTATTTTAAAKTTTTGTAGTAAAGTGTACTGCRTTAGTAATGAATGAAAACACTTGCTACTGCTGTTGATCCTTACTTATATACTACAGCTGTTGTAAACAAGTTTTTTGTTGCTGTAGTACCCTGCTGGCTATCAGAAGGAGAAAGAGAATAAGAATGAGGTTGAGGAGGAAGCAACACCTACCAAGGCGAAGAGGAAGAGAAAGTCTCAGGGCAGTGGTATGTTCTTTCAGCCACTAGCTTATTGGGTTGTGTGTTTTCTTTCCTTCTTACTTTGTTTTTTATTACACAAAGAGGCATACATTAATGCAGTAAGACTTTTCTGTTGGAAAATAACATTTAAAGCTATAATAAAGTTTGAAAAGTGAAATGTCTGGATTTCTTTCAGAATCCTCCAAGAGCTCACCGGCTAAGTCTCCTAAGAAGGTGAAGGTGGAGGCGTACAACCTCACACAAGAGCAGAAAACACTCATCAAGAGCGACAAGCAAAACAAAAAGCTGTGGGATGAAGCCATGGAGTCTCTTGCACTCGGACCGGTGAGGAGATAATGTTCTCATTTTTTAATTTACTTATAGTTCAGATTTTAATCATTCAGCTCTATAATACACCTTAACTCTGTTTGTACAAACGAATAACACTCCCTGTGTCCACCCTCCTACTCAACCCAGTCTTAACATATTTCACTTGCCATGCATTCATAAAACATTGTAAACTGGACTATATTACATCCCTCAGTCTCCCCCTTCCCTATATTTATTTGTGGGTTGTTATTTTGGTTTTAGAAATTGAGTACACTATTATTTTTGGATCATTGATGGTGGCACTTYACGATTATTACTATGTAATGCTGTGAATGTGCCAACATTGTGTCRATGTTTTTTAACAGTGACCAAAACYTACTGAATTGAACTAAAAGTCCAGTTTGTCACATTTCCACATTGATGCACTGTAGCAGTATGTTTCACTTTAGGAARTAATGATTGGTTTATCAGCTGGGTGCTGTTGTAGAAACCATGATGTAAAGAACTGTGATTGTTTATGACCTGGCAGTGCCATYAGTCATATGCCACAAATAAATGCAACTTGTCAGAATGTCTCCAGCAGTACCTTAAGGTAGAAATGCGCGATATAAACAATATACGGTAGAAACTATATAAATTTGTCCTATGATAGAGATCTGTAGTCTACCGGCCAACCGCGCACTTCTTTTTGATGATGTAACCAGCTGGAGTCAAAACAGGAAGCGGGAAGCAGCCTGGCTGAGAGCGCAAATGAGGAGGGGAAAAAAAAAAAACACCCGAACCAGACCTGGTTCGGGTGTGCGAAAATGAACGCCGAATTGTTTACATATTTGTGTGACGGCGCGTCCTCCGACCACACTGCCTGCTGCGGGAGGAGCGCGCGCCGCAGCACATGGTGACGCAGTGAGGCGACTGTCAGTGCAGGTGAAGTCAGTGCTCCAGGACTCACAAAAGCTCGCTGAGTCTGGACCTCGTTTCTCCTGCGGTCATAGCGCGACGCCGCATGGCCGAATGCCGTGGAAAAAAAAAAAAGTAAAGCATAAACAGGATGATTGTCACCCCGCCGGAGCGCGCACAGATTAAACATGTGGAGTGCAGAAAAAAATAATCTGCAAAGTGTGTAGAAAGGAATAAATGCAATTGGTTTTACCACCTTAAAACAAAGCAGGTTTTTCCAAACACAACATCCAATGGATGCAGATATCTATTACATTAAAGTTA